GCCTCCTGCACGCCCCACACTGGGGATCGAGCCCACAACCCGGGCATGTGCCCTTGACTGGAATCGAACCTGGGACCCTTCAGTCCGCAGGCCAACGTTCTATCCACTGAGCCAAACCAGCCAGGGCATCTTTGATTTTTTTTCAATTGCATTAAAATATTATTTATCCTGATTACTGAGGGTTTTTTAATTCCCTCTTGAGTTTAACACCTTAGTTGCCGCCATGCTGTCCTTCCCATTTTCGAGATGAGAAAACTAAGGCTCGGAGAAGTGAGGACACAGCGGAGGTCCTGTGTCTTCCAAACTCAATGGGGCCTGGAGGCGGTACTGTGCTCAGCACGGCGCGGTGGCCGCAGCCTGGCTCCCCACTGTCCTCCCAGCAGCCCCTCGAGGCCAGGAGGGCACAGGCCGATGGCTTTGGGTCTGACAAGGAAAACGGGGTTCTGGGGGCTGAGTGGGGGTTCTGTCCCCAGGCGGCCTGGACATGGCCTCTGCGGCATCTCCTGGTGCTTTCAGTGGCCCCGCCTCCCCCTCCCCCCCATCGTCACTCAGACCGCCCTGGGCAGTGGGCTTCTCGGGCCTGGGCGGGCGGACATGGCCCCTGCGGCATCTCCTGGCCCTCTCAGTGGCCCCGCCTCCCACCCCATCGTCACTCGGACCGCCCTGGGCAGTGGGCTTCTCGGGCCTGGGCGGGCTCGCTGCCCCGAAGTGACCCAGCCCTTCTGCCCACAGACCCTCAAGATCCGGCTGTGCCAGCTGCAGAAGAGGTGTCACCGCAGGCAGGAGCTGCAGTGGCAGTCGGGACATGGTGTCACCTTCCAGAAAGACACGGGCAGCCATAATGTGAGCCCAGTCTGCTGGCCCAGGGGCGGGGCAGGGGCGGAGGCTGCTGTCTCCTCACCCCCAACACACACACACACACACCCCACTTACCCCCTTGCACCATGGTGACTGCTAGCTTTCGAAGGGCTTCTCTAAGATGGGGCAGGTGTCACTTTACCAGCGGGAAAAACTGCAGCCACAAACCCATCTCTACCAAGAACCGGAGCTGGGACCCCCGGCCCAGGCCCAGGGCCCAGCATATGCTGGCTGCTTGATCAGTCCTTCTGTCATGCCTGTGATGAATAATAATGACATTGAAATGAGTGGTTGCTGTGCACTATCTTTGATCATTACCAGGGAGGGCTTAGCCCAAGGCCTGACCCAGAATAGGCACTCCGAACTATTGCTTGATTTTACCCATACCCATTTCACAGATGAGAAAAGTGGTGCCGAGGAGAGCAAGTCATGGTCGAAGTTCATGACCAGGGCCAGGATTTCTGAGCTTAGGCTCTTGAGCTGCTTCTTACTGGCCTTCGGAATGTGAATTCCTGACCCCCGCCCCAGCCCTCACCCACGAAAAATGCTCAGAACTGTGGCCTCCCAGCCTCAGGGGCTGGGCTGCTGGAAGGACACAGGGATTTAGGCCTGGGGCCCAGGGCTGCTCTGGGCACACTCCACCCAAGCAGGGTGTGGTCATCGGATGTAGGACCTTCCCAGGCCCCGGAGGACCCTAATTTGGAAGACATGAAAGTTGGGGTCTGTGGGCTGCTGGCCCCCAACCAAGGAGCTTGGAGAGGGAGTAGGCTGGCACAGGTAAGAGCTCCTTCTGGGTCTTTTTAAGGTGGGAAGCAAGGCTGCCGCAGCTGATTGCCACCCCAGAGGCCTGAAGTCCAGGACGCAGGCGCTGCCCGGAGTGAGGAGCGCTGGGTGCCTCCAGGCCCCTGCCCAGCCCCTGCCCCAGGTGTGGACCACCGACATCTCCAGCCAGGAGGACCCTCAGACCCTGCAGGCGGGAGGGACTGGATAAAGCCCTTGGGGAGTGGGGCACAGACCAGGATGAGCAGGTGGCTCCTGGCTCCCGATCGCTTCTCTGACCTGGGAGAGCTGGGGCCAGGGGGCCAGGGGGCCAGAGGGCCAGGGTATCCTGGGAGAGGGCTGAGCCGCTGCCTCCCCCTCCTCTTCCTGCTCCTCTTGCAGAGCCAGCTGCTCAACTATATGCAAATGGCCATCGACAACATGGCCCAGCAGTGCTGCTCCTCTGACTGTGTGGAGCCCAAGAGCATGGGCCTCTTCTCCAAGCTCGACCTGATTCAGGTGAGACTCCCTGCTTCCCAGGCTGGCCCAACCTCAGCCGATTCGGGGTGCATTTGTGGTTAGCCCCCCATTAGCTCCTCTCTCCACGGCTGCATGGGCTCCTGGACTCAACAAATTTATGATGAGCACCTACGAGGTGCAAGGTCAGAGGTGGGTGTCAAGGAACTCCTGCCCTGCTGGCCTTTATGTGCAGCCCCCCACCCAGCACATCACACACACACACACACACACACACACTGTGTACACACTCATACAGACATTCACAGGTGCTCTCTGCACACCTAACATACACACGAAACATACACTGACACCTGCACACACACACACCAAAGTGCACACACATGAGGTCCCACATTTACACGTGTGTATGCTGGGAGGGGCATTTCGGTGAGTAAGGGAGCTGTGTGACGAGACCTCAATTTTAACTTAAGACTCTCAGTCAAGTCCAGGGAAGTGTCCCTTCTCACTGCCCCGTAGGCCCAAACCCCCATCATCATAACGCTGATGCTCAGTGACAGGGAACATGTGACCACATTGGCTTCCACTGACAGCAGAGCATATATATTTATTTTTTATTTTTAATCACAATATTGTTGTGATGTAATTCAGATATCATAACATTTCCCCGTTTAAAGCGCCCACTTCAGTGTTTTCAGTATAGAATTGCCCGACCATCATTAGTATCTAATTCCTGAACGTCTTCATCGCCCCCCACAATACATGTTGCATCTGGCTTCTTTCACTTCACGTACTGTCCTCAAGTTTCATCCGTACAGGAGCATGAATCAATACTTCCTTCCTTTAAGTGGCTGAAAATAGCCCATTGTTTGGCTAACCCTCAATTTGTTTAGCCATTCATCAGTTGATGGGCATTTGGGTTATTTCCTTTTTTTTTTTTTTTACTGTTATGAATAATGCTGCTATGAACATTCATGAACATGTTTTCGTGTGGACATGTCTTTTCAATTACTTTGGGTATACACCTAGGAGTGGAATTTGAGTCATGTGCTAACTATGTTTGAGGAACTGCCATACTGTTTTGCAAAGTGGCTGCATAATTTTACAACCCTAGGGTCCATATATGCGGCTTCAACTTTCCCCATTTCCTCCGCAACACTTGGTATTATCTGTCTTTTGCAACTTAGCCATCCTAGTGGACGTGAAGTGGTATCTCATTGTGGTTTTGATTTGCATTTTCTGGTTGACTAAGATGAATGTTGAGCATCTTTTCATAAGGTGTTTATTGGCTGTTTGTATATCTTCTTTGGAGAAATATCTATTCAGATCCTTTGCGCATTTTTAAATTGGATCGTTTGTCTTTATTGTTGAGTTGTAAGAAGTCCTTACCTCGTCTGGATACAAGTCCCTTCTACAGTATATGATTTGAAAACATTTTCTCTCATTCTATGGATTGTCTTTTCATGTTGATGGTATCCATTGAAGCACAAACGTTAATTTTTATGAATCCAATCTAGCTATTTTTTCTTTGGTTATTATGCTTTAGGCATCATATCTTAAAAAAAGAAAGAAAGAAAGAAAGGGAGAAAGAAAGAAAGAAAAACATTGCCTACCTAATCCAAAGTTACAAAGATTTATACCTAAGTTTTTTGTAAGAAGTTTGTAGCTTTTGCTCTATTATCAGATTTATTATCCATTTTTAATTAATTTGTATATGATATAAGGATCCAATTTCACTCTTTTGCATAAGGATATTTATTTGTCCTGATACAATTTGTTGAAAAAATGATTCTTCCCCCATTGAATTGTCTCCTCGCCCTTGCCCAAAATCAATTGCCCATAAAGGAGAAGTGTTGCCCTAACCCGTTTGGCTCAGTGAATAGAGCGTCTGTCTGCAGACTGAAGGGTCTCAGGTTTGATTCTGGTCAAGGGCATGTACCTTGGTTGCGGGCACATACCCAGTAGGGAGTGTGCAGGAGGCAGCTGATCAATGTTTCTCTCTCATCGATGTTTCTATCCCTCTCCCTTCCTCTCTGTAAAAAATCAATAAAATATATATTTTTTTAAAAAAGGAGAAGTGTTAGTTCTGGACCCCTTTCTATTCCATTGATCCATTTGTCTGCCCTTATGCCAGTACCACCCTGTCTGGACTACTGTAACTTTGTAGTAAGCTTTGAAATCCGTAGGTGTGAGTCACACAACCGCGTTCTTGGTTGAGGTTGTTGGACTCTTGTAACAGGCATGTCTCGCATCTCGAGCGGGTGTTTGGTGGCTGGGTTTCAGGCATGGTGTGACGAGAGGCCCAGTAGCACCATCAAGGACCTGGCCTTCCCACGCTCCCCTGTCTGCCACCTTCAGTACTGGCTTCATCCCAGCTCATGACTTGCTTTCCTCACTTGAGGTAGGTTCAGTGGAGACATTCAAACAGGATCCTTCGCTTCTCTGGAACCCAGAGAGGCAAGTCCCTTCCCCAGTGTTGTCCAATAGCAGCAGTCAGCGGGGAGCAAGCCTGCATCCTAGTCGAGAAGCACTTCTTTTAAGAACGTCACGGGCAGTAGCAGGGCCCCTCTGTGGCATCGCTCAGAGGCACCATCCATGTTGAAGGCCACATAACTGGCATCCCCTGGGGCTTAACTCCTTCCGGTTGCAAAATGAATGACGTGATTTTGAAGAAGGGTGCATTTGTCTAAATAGTTACAGTATATTCATTCCATCTTCCCCTAAAAAAGTAATGTCAAGGGGTCCCAGGGGTCTCCTGTACTAGTCACCCAACCTAGTTTGAGAGACACCTGCATGTGCTCAGCTTTGTGCTGGGTAAAGAGCTGGGGGTGGGGGGAGATAAAGGGCTACCTGGTCCCCAAGAACTGAATGCCTCTCAGGGAGGGAGGCGAGGGCAGCCACGGTGTGTTTTATGGAGGAAGCAGTGGTAAGAGGCAGGCAACCACCTTCAAGAAGCCACACAAGATCTGGACTCTGAGTCCTCCAGCTCGGCCACCACTGGGCTGTGCAGCTTCAGGCCACTCACTTAACCTCTCTGAACCTAGGTTTGCTCATTCACCAATCGTCACTGATACCACACCCTTGCTAGGGCTCTTGTGAAAGCTAAAGGAGATGTAGGCAGATTTTAATGGTGCTTTGGTCCCTGGGGAATGGTGTCAAGAATAAAGAATGAGAGGTTTGTTTTTCCTCCTAGAAATTTATATTGGACAAAATGGAGACCGTGAAATTTATCGTACTGCTCATGGAACCCCGTGTGTGCTGGACAGGCGGTAGACACAAAGACCAGGGATTCAGAAGTCACCCCAGACCCTTCAGGAAATGTCCGACGAGGCAAGATATCATCCCAAGGGCCCCCGTTCCCACCACCGAGCCTTCAGAGTGCTCCTACCTGCGCTGACCCGCCGACGGCCACCGGGCCGGCCGGCAACACGACCATCTCCTGACCTGCTTGGCCTCCTTTTCTCACCACCAGCGCCCTTGAGTGGGTGGGAGCCAGCCTGGGGGCAGTGAGCGAATGGGTGGGGTCCTGGGGCCAGCTGGGATGGGGCGCTGTTCTCTATGATGGGGGGTTGACAGGGATGAGATGAGGTCTGCCTGGGACCATGGGGAAGAGAGAGGGGTTCCTGAGTCAGAGGCAGCAGCCAGGTGGGAAGTCCCAGGCTGGAGACCAGCAGCCAGGAGCCAGGACTGCCTGTGTCACCGGTGGGTTCACCTGAGACCAGCTCTGCCTGGCTGGCTGGATGCCTGAGTCACAGACACTCTTGTAAAGAGCCGCCCAGGGCTGTAGGATGCAGGAGAGCCCGCCTTGCACGCAGCAGACTGGGGAGCACAGAGGGCTGGAGTACTGAATTGGGGGGGCGGCATTTCATTACTGGTCCCAGAATCTGAATTCCAAGTCAGTGCCTTCTGCCCACCCCTGAGGGTCCGGGAGAGGCCAGAAAGGAGTGCTAGTCTTCGGGAGGCCTTGGCACGGCCAAGCCCCTCTCCGGCCGGTTTTCCCACCTGTCATATTGGGCGAGAGGGTCTCAGGGAGGCCCTTCCCCAGGTTCACATTCTAGGTCAAGGCTGGAAAAGCTTGGTCTGCACGGAGGGCGCTCATTTGGTTTTATTGTGTCGCTGGGGTCAACTCATCCCAGCAACCAGCGTGGCTGTGAAAAGAATTCTCCGCTGGAGGTCTGCCTGCCAGTGAGAGCTGGTGTAGGTGACAGTTGAAAGTTAAGAGGAGCCGTTTAGCGGCCAACTGCGGTAAAGCAGCAAACGAACTGTCAAAGGGGCGTTTCAGAAAAGATGCTGCTACTCCCTCCACAAACGCGGAGGTCTGCTGTATTCCAGGTGCTGCTGGGAGAGGGGGATGGGAGTGTGGTCAGGTCTGAAGAGCAGTTTAAACAGAGGGGGTGTGAGGAGGGAGCATCCTTTTGAGTTTCTGATCTCACGAGCCTTTGGGGATCAGAGGTCCTCTCAGGTCGGGCTGGAGGCAGGTTTCAGGAGGAGGAGGTTGGGGGGGGGACAGGGGGGCTGAAGGAAGTGGAGGAAACATAGGGTCGGGACTTCCAGGTTGGCTACGGGTGGAGGAACCTGCTGGGCAGTCCGAGCAGGCGGGCTGGGAACCCGTCGTGGGCCCTGGGCCAGGCTCCGAGCTCGGGCTTCGGTCCAGAGGTCACACGTGAGGATGTCTGGTCCATCCGGCCGCTGTAACAGAAGACCGTGGCCCGCGCGGCCTCACGGCAGACATTGGTTTCTCCCAGTTCTGGAGGCTGGGAGTCCAAGATCAAGGCAGCGGCAGGACTGCCCCGTTCACTGGACTGTCCTCTCGCTGTCCAGCCA